TGCGCGCAACCGTTGAGAACGGCGCTTAAAACCGTTTACCCGCGGCGCCGATGAGCAATCGCTTCTGTAACGAGACCCCTCTCTCTCTCTCTCTCTCTTCGCAAGGATTTCTCGCTTTCTTTCGGATCTCAAGTTCTTTGTTAATCGAACCGCGCTCTTCGATCGATCGATCGATCGGTTTATTGCGCTTGCGCGGAATTGGAGCGTACGGAAAGACGGCAGAGGAAGAGGAAGGAGGTTTTGGAGAAGCTTTATTATGCGAATTATTCGATCGAGGAAACAAAGATTCGCGATTGGCTCGTTCTTCTTTCCATTCGTATTTAATCGGACGTTGGTAGGCGAAGTGGAAGTGCGCACGGTAGGCGCACGGTAGGCAAAGACCTTAGGAAAGGATATTGTTCCACCTCCTGGCTCACGGAGAGAAACTGCTAGCGGACGCGTGATTTATAGAGAGAATCTCGTGCGCCTCGTGCTTGCACCGGCATCGTCCAGATCCTCCTCTCTTCTTGCGTTGTCTTCGTCGTCTTTCGACTCTCTGCCTCTCCGTGGCGCTGCAACATTCTCTCTCGTATGCAGAGTGCTCCAGTTCCCACGCAACGCGGGGCTATGCACTCTCTAAGCGTGTTCCTCGTGCGCGCGCGCGCGTGTGTGTGTGTGTGTGGAGCTGGTTTTATGCGCTCCTGTTACGCACCCATCCTTTGCCGCAACCGTATTCGCGCTGGCATTAGCGTCTTCGAACGCCTTTTGCGGACCAGGAAACGCGGCTCGTTATTGTGTCGCTTCGAGAGACGCGCTCCTTAACTCTTTTCGGACGAGACGTTGTATCCCAAACGTGACGCGGATAGCGTCTTTTTTCGCTCACTTTTTTCCTTTTCGATTTGGGAATCGCTGTTAATTACGCGCGATGAATATCTCGATTCTTTGCTTCGAGTTTTTTTTTCCATATGTATATATATATATATGTACGGTTGCTCGGTCGGTAAGTAATGGATAATTAAACGAAGGGAAATCTGGAGCGTAATTATTAAAAAGTCAATTATATCTTAATTAGTGTTAAATTAACACCTCGTACGAATAATCTTCTCCTTTATATCTCTCGATCAATTATTCTAATTAACTTTAAAACGAGAGATAGATTTTTCGAAATTGGAGAGGTATCTCATAACGCGGGATGGAACGGTTATGGATAATAGCTAGGTCGAGGAATCATCTTCTCTCTCGATTCTCTCTACTTCTTTCTTTCTTTTTTCCCTCTCTCCTCCCCCCATCTTTTTTGTTTTTCGGCGATCTCGTTGTTTTCGTCGCGGCAACGTTTCGATCGTTATTTATCTTATACACATTGTGGCACGCTTTGTGGTAAATCATGTTTAATAAGCCATAAGTTACGCTTTTGCCCCGCTGTATTTATGATATGTTGATCCTTATCCGAATGATGTACATTAACGATCGAAGCGAGAAATCTGTATACACTCCGGATCCGGTGTATATACACCGGTATCTATCCCAGAGAGCGTCTAGACGAGTAACGCGCTGTAGGCAGTTAACCGCTTATCCGACAGAAACGTATCGAATGCAAATATCTTATGCGGTTCGACCTCGAGTGCATTTAAACGAGTGATTTAAACTCGTCCGATTCTTTTCATCTCGCCGTTTTATTATTTTAATCCGAGCAAACTCGAGGATCTATTTTAGATATAGAGAGGGGGAGGGGAGGGGATAATGAAAGATCACGAGAACGAGGGCGAAGTAACGAAAGTTTGAAAGAGGCAGGGGGCATAAACTTAAGCGTGCTTAATTAAATCTAGATTTTGCTAATTGTCGAGGCTTGGCAAAATTACTTCTTCTACTATAAGAGATTTCGTTTTAGGGAGATAGGTAGGATCAGAATGTGATGAAGAGAATTAAGAATTTTCCCCCGTTACGAAGGGACGAAGAAATTATTTATTGCTATTCGAATAATATTAAATAATATAAAATTATTTAATATTTTCACAACGAAAGAAAGATATATCTCAAATATTTTCTGCCCGTCAGTTCTATGTATCCAGTTTAAATGTATACGCTTTATTGCAAAAAAATGAAGTGGGAAAATATTTGATACGAGACTCGTCTGATTTGGTGGAGGAAACTCGATAAAATATTTTTCAACTTTCTTCCAAAATTGTTATGTAGATATTTCAATTTTTTGTACCTTCTTCTTCTTCTTCTTCTTCTTCTTTTTTTCCTTCATTCGGTTTAAACGAAACTACATATTTTATTATTTATTATCGTCAATTTATTACGCGTTTCGAGAGCCACTCGCACGCGAAGCGCGCACTTGAATAGTTATTTTATCGGATGTTTTTATATCGAATATCGATGCCAAATGTCAAGTTCACGTAATATCTACTTATAACGTGGAAACAATCGTATAATGATATTCCGTGTATCGACACGATGTCACGTTCTTTCAAACGTGATAACCAAGAGAAAGAGAAAGAGAGAGAGAAATTCGCAAAGAAGATGCACAAAACTTGAAACGATCACGATAAATGGAATACACAATCCAATACGGAACTTGGAAACGCTTGGTTCCTGCCAGTCGAAGTTCCATCGATGTCTTGCGAAAATTCGAGATTCTAAAAGAGGCAGGTATCGCGAGTATCGGCACGAGAATCGTGGCGCGTCCTTTTCCTCGGGCGGCCATTCGGATCCCTTTATTCCCGGCCATTCAGCCCTTTCAGTCGTCGGCTCACAATGCACGACGGACGAAAATGTCGAATCAACCTACCCCTTTTCGAGACAAAGAGAGAGAAAAAAATCAAGAGAGAACAGAGAAAAATGGGCAGCCGTCATCGATACACCCGTCCGCTTACCTGGCCCGCCCGCGAGTGTATCTACCGTGTACATCCCCCTTTTGTTCGATGTAGTATTAAAAAAAAAAAAAAAAAAAAAAA